GAACTAATAATTAGAATGAGGAAAAAGGAAAGACATAAGGAAAGAACAAGCTAAAACTGCAAAAAAGAAAGAAAAAAGAAAAAAATTATAAAGAAATAACTTCCAATTTTCTTTTACAAGTTGTTACTATAATCTTTTACCACTTTCTATGTAGCACAAATTAGAACAAAACTGACTAGTTGCCCACTTGTTTAATGTGGTTTTTACAATGCAAAGAGAGCTTTACATTACAAACCAATCAATGTCTATTTAAAAGTCTAGCTGGCTTCACACATAATTCTACATCATAAACCATAACTTACAAACCACAATGGCTTAGTGTCATGTGATCTGCAAATAGATCACATTATGGCTTTAATATGATGTGTGCCCCAGACACCTGTATCATTTCACCTGGTGTCCACAATAATGCAAAGGCAGGAGGTGTTGGTTTGATTAGGGGAAGGCAACGTGCCCTGGAGTATTAATGTTCCTGAGGAAATCTTCCTTGCTCTCAGCCAGGTTCCCTGCCCTGCCTAATTCTATTTATTTAGGTTAAGATTCTTTTAATTAAAAATATAATAAAGCTATAAAGCAAAGCATCTATTTATTTACTTTATTGTGTTTATTTCAGAAAGGCCTTTGGCACAACGTAGGCCATCCCTAGGCCAAACAAAGGTAAATGGGTGCAGCCCAATGTTTGATTAGAAGCTTATCCACTTATCCTGAGAAAAAGCAATGGTAAACTGAGGAGGTCAAGCACATCCTCCAGGACCTAGAGGAAATAATGGGATATGACATCACCAGTCTGTCTTCAAATAAATGGATGTTTTGTGACTGGCCATGCTCACAATGGCAACCATTTTCTGAACTGATCTATGGTAACCACCCACAACATATTCTTAAAATATAAAAACCCTCCAGCCTAGAAGTACTGTTTACTAAGAGGTCAGATATTGTAGCAGAAGCAGCTTCTGAGGGCCAAACAAGAAGCGACACAGTCAGCAATTACATTTATCTTTCATCTGGGACAGTGTTTCCCAACCTTGGAAACTTTAAGATGTGTGATTTCATCTCCCAGAATTTCCCAACGGTCAAGGTTGGAAAACCCTGATCTGGGGAATCCAACTGCTTGCAAACAGATTTACTTCCTAGGAGATTTAACACATTATACTGTCCTGGGCATATGAGCAAAACTTTTGCTTATTCAATTTTTGTTGTAGAGCTTGCATGTTCATTGACACCAGTCCATGCAGCTTACATTGATACAAAGATACAAGAGAAAAATATACAAAGCAATACATGTAATACTTACTTGGTCCAAGTCCTATGGAGAAAGCTGCAACATAAACAAGCAAGCTAGCCAAAGAGAGCCATTTCAGAGAGGTTTGCACTTCTGCGGGTTCAACTGCTACCTGGGATTCTGCTTGCATTTTGTCTCCTGCCAATGTTGTTCTGTTCTGATTCCTTATGTCCGCAATTTCATCCTTCCACCATGAACTTTTAACAGAGAAAGTCATGCCAGCAAAACGTTCCTTAAAAGTTTCATTAGTGAAGGTCACTGTTCCCACTCCCTGAAATAGGAACTCTTCCAAAGACTGATTTTTACAGACAGTGGTGACATTCACATGTATATTATGCATCACTAATCCTAAAGTGACCAAGGACACCGACATGAGGGATGAGCCAATACACAGAAATGTCTTGCTTCCTACTTGGTCCACAAAAAGAATGGCTGGAATGGTACTGATCACTTTAACTGCTCCAACCCCAGTTGAGGCCAAACTAGCCGCCGCGTTGCTCTGAAATCCAACTGATTTCAAAACGGTGGATGCGTAAAACAAGATGTTGGGCTGTCCAGTTGTTTGTACAAAAAAAACTAGAACAATCCCTATCAGCATCCGTGTTCTCATGTTGTCTTTCGAATGGAACAAATCCAGAAAATGATATTGGTGTTCATCTTTCAAGGAAGATTTGATCATAGTGAGTTCTTCAGTAGTGTCCAAAGATGTCCTGAGCTTTCCAAGTACTTTATTAGCAGCTTCATCAAAACCTTTCATAACCAGAAACCGAGGACTGGGCAGAAGAAAATATAAAGCAATTGTTTGTAAAATCCCCAGTGGAATAACAAGGCCGAACATGTACTTCCACCCATGGGAAACGTTAGCAAAGGCATAATTAGAAATGTAGGCAAAGAGAATGCCCATTACAATCATGAGCTCATTTAAAGACACAAGCAAGCCTCTTCTGTGCTGTGGGGCAATCTCGGCAATATACACACATGTTGCAGTTGAAGAAAGCGAGATAGAAATCCCAATCACAATCCGTCCTGTTATAAGTAGTCCGTATGAGGCGAAAATTATCAGAATCAGACTGCCCACAACTAATAAACCAGATGACAGCATAATGGTAAGTCGCCTCCCATATTTGTCTATCAGGATCCCACCAGTTAATGAAGCGAACAAGGCACCAACAAGAAGTGCGCTTACAATTATCTCTTGTTGTCGGCATGAAAGCGTCAGGATGCTAGTTAACTGAAGAAGAGCTCCAGAGATAACTGCAAGCTCATAACCCATCAAAAATCCACTGATGGCAGCAATGATGGATGACAGGAGAGTGAACATCCCACAACCTGGAATTAAAGGATATGAGAAAAATCAACTTAGTTTTCTAGCATCAGTAAACATATCTTAGAACCCATACTCGTCCAAGATGCGCAAGCAGTTAAAATGGAGAATTCTATAAAAAGTGTCTTAAACAGATTAACCATTTTTATTATTATTTCAAAAACCACCATGCTGAATTAAGAATTAAGCTAAGTAAGCAGTTAGTCACGGTGAAGCTGTGGCAGAGCATCCTGGATCCAGAATGGAACTTGGGACTGCTGATGAGTGGAGCCCCACCCAGTATTGTGGGTCATAAATAGAGATTCCATGGTGGAATGTGTTGGTCACAGGTTGAAATGGTGTATCTAGAGACAGTATTCACAGCAAAACACTTTTTATGTCCCACTGTTAATTTTTTTGCCAAAACATGGGTCACTCAGAATAATGCACAATTGGAAACCTGAGATATAGAGCTAATACCAAGGTACCTATTTTATTATAGAAGTGATTCTTTTCTTTTCCTTTTCTTATTTTTAAAGAATTTTCCACAAGCTTTTTCCACCTTTAGATTTAAAATATAGGAAAGGACCTAGGATAATTATGCTAGAACTGCTACTCTACAACATGAATTTATATGTGGTTCTAATTTATGCAATCTGAAACTGTTCAAATAATACTCTGATACTATTTATCTGCACTGGATTGCGTGGAAATAAATAAAAAAAATTTTTTTAAACAAGGAAATTAGAACACATCCCAGAAAAGACATCACAGGAGAGATGTACAGACACATTGGTATAAAAACTATTCAAATAAGAGGTTGCAGATTATTTTCCATATTCCATCTAAACTAAGAATGTACCAAATCTTGCAAATTAAAAAAAATACATATACAATAATTTTGCTGAACCAGACTGTCTTGTAAGTCTCATGCACCTGCTTAACCATATGGCTTGAATTACATACTGTTTATTATAAAGCTTTTTCCTACTCTTGCTGGTAGTCCACACTACTTTGAATATTTAGAAATTAATTTAATTTCTGATTTTGAAGGAGAAACTCTGAGGAAAAGAATTAAAAAGTTATTTAACTGTGCTAGTTGGACATGTTCAAGACATATTTTAATATCCACTTTGAGCTGATCTTTCTAGGGACTAAATTGCATGTTCCATTAATAGCATTGCTATTAAACAATGTGCTCAGGAACAGCCACACGTCACCATGTTCATCATGTAGGAGAAGGAAGAGATGGAGATGCTAGAATACAAGAATAATGGCTAAAAACAGTTAACAGGAGAAGAGCTGGCTACTTTTTCATGCATCATTGCAATTTATTTTTAAGTAGGTAATTACTCAACATAGAGCCCATACTCTTTGCTAAACATTCTTTCTTAGATGTTACATGTTGACCTCTTCATTATTTTTGGTTCCCAAGTCTATTCTATTGTTTAATTCCTTCAGGTTTCCTTTCATTTAATCATCTCTTACTATATTTCACTTAGTTTAATTTTGTTAATAATAAATAACTGTAACAGTCAATTCATCAACACAAACAGAAAGAGTAATAACAAAGTATATTGTATTGACCTTAATTCTGCCAACTGTTTTTTAAGTATACATCTATTACAGTAAAAACAAATAACACTTTTATTTCTTATACTACTTGCTATTAGAATTCTATATTTTATTAGCTATCATTTGAACTACTTACCATTTGAGATTGGTGTATTTATTAATTTAAATAAGTTATATAGTTGCCCATCTTACCATAGTGACTCTAGGTGGTAAACGCAGGATTAAAACCAAAAAATAACACAGTTTACAAAAATAACACCCAAAGCAATAATAGAATACATGCCCAAGGACTAAAAATCATTCCACTTTCCAGTCAATGAAAAACAAGAACTAGATAAACCAGTCAACAGGGCTTGCTTAACCTCCCAGCTCAAATGCCTGAGGGAACACCTTTAACACCTTATGAAAGACCAACAGGGTCAGGGCCATCTGGATCCTCGGGGGCGGGGGAAGGTGATGCTGCAGCACAGAAGCTATGATTCCTAGGTCCCACAAGATGACACTGCCTAATAAAAGAGACCTGGAACATGCCAACCCTGCCAATTCTGACAGGATGAGCAGAGACAATCTGAGACAGGTAGTCCTGCAAATAACCTAACCCTGTGCCATGTAGGGCTGTATAGGTGACGATGACATGTTTAATTGCATTCAGAAGCCCACTGGAAGCCAGTGCAACTCTTGGTGGTGTTAGATAAGCATATCCTGGGACACCCAAAACTGCCCACATCAGTGCATAAGTCTTTTTCATAAATGGTCCTTAGTGGAACTATGGCATTAGAAAAAGTTGCTGGTATAGCAACTTTCTATGGCTATACCAGCAACTTCTAGAAGTTCTATTAGAAGTTCTAAAAAGTTCTATGGCATTAGAAAAAGTTGCTGGTGTAGTAAAGTATTGTCCGGACTTCCTTTACTCACCTCTCTGTTTGCTACTGCCAGCTATTTCATCACAGGATGGGAAAGCATATGATTTGGCTAGATGAATCATAGTCTGGGGATGAGAAAGGCCAGCAATATGGAAACGGAATAAACAAGCAGTTGCCTACTTGGTCTAATGACACTGTAAATAACTAATGGAGAAAAGTTTTATAAAGTTCACCAGAGATTTTTTTTTTTTTTTGCAGAGTCAGATAAATAAAAAATTAACATGATGGACAACTGACAATAAATATCTCAGTCAATAGTTATCAAGGTGAATCAAGGACAACAAACTAAATCTGTATTTCAAAGTAGAAGAAAAAAAAAGAATCAATTACAGCATCTGGATTAGGGCATACAGTACATTATCCTACAAGAGGTTCTCACGTTTAGGAGTGGGAGTTTGGCCAACAAGCAAATGACAAAGATTTTGAAAGGCATGGGAGAAGAAAGTGGAGGGGATGAATGTGATCTGGTATGGTTCCAGTTTCCTGTATATGCTATGTCATTAAAATCCACACATTAAGCTATTTATTTATTTATTTATTTATTTATTTAAGTGTATTATAGCTGCCCACTCCAGCAGACCCTACTCCCTACTCCCCCACTGAGAATGATGGATTCTTAAGACATCAGGTAGTACAGAATTAAGCACTTAGGAATTAATAAAGTACAAACAAAATTGATGTATTGTCGAAGGCTTTCACGGCCGGCATACGATGGCTGGCGTGGGTCTTCCGGGCTGTGTGGCTGTGTTCTTGAAGTTTTGTTTCCTAACATTTCGCCAGCACCTGAGACCGGCATCTTCAGAGT